AGGAGGGAGTTGACATTTCTAGGACACAAATTGGGGGGACAGGGAATTGGCACAGTGGAAGAGAAGGTGCAGGTTGTGAGCAATTGGCCTGCTCCCACCACAGCACAGCAGCTTAAATTTTTTCTTGGCTTGGCTTCATATTACAGGAGGTTTGTGAAGGGTTTTTTCTGTCCATTTTAAGTATTACCTGTGCGGGTTACATTTCACTGTACACACTGACGATTTTGCTCTCCAGTGGCTTATGGCATTTAAAGAGCCAGAGGGCCAATTGGCATGCTGGATTGAAGAACTTCAGGCGTACAACATAAAGGTAGTTCACCGTGCAGTGTTGAGCCATGTGCGATAGCTGGGTGTCACTACTGCGACAAGAAGAAAGCCAGGGACAGAGAGCTGGGGAACATTGATGTGGGGGAGAATTCTGCGGATTGTAAGTGTGGGGGTACACTGGTGTGTGCGGCAATGGAGGTTGTGGGCATAGAGGACTGGAAGCGGCTGCAAGAAGAAGATGTAGACCTGCAGCACGTAATCCAGTGGGCCCAAGCCCAACAACGACCACCGTGGGAGGAAGTGGCCGTTCTGTCACTGTCCACAAAAACTTAATGGGCCAACTTGCGTTTGCAGGGATGGGTGGTTGGAGAGAGGGGGGAAAGACCCCACCACTGGGGATGAAAGGTGGCAGGTGGTGGTACCAAAAGTGTTGCGTAAAGGGGTTATTGGGGCTTCCCATGGTACAGTGGGGTCTGGACACTTTGGTGTCTACAAAAACACTTAACCACATGAGGCTATGCTTTTACTGGGGATACCTCTCTTTTCATCCTGATGATCCCTCGGTTTCAGCTCGTATCTCAGCCTGCCTGTTGGACATTTCACACTGGATGAAAGATCATCATCTTCAGCTTAACCTCGCGAAAACGGAAATGCTTGTAGTTTCTGCCAACCCGACTCTACACTATGACTTTTCAATCCAGATGGATGGGGCAACCATTACTGCATCCAAAATGGTGAAAAGCCTTGGAGTAACGATTGATGACCAACTAAACTTCTCTGACACATTTCTAGAACTGCTCGATCGTGCAGATTCGCACTCTATAACATCAGAAAGATCCGACCCTTCTTATCAGAACATGCAGCTCAACTCCTTGTTCAAGCTCTTGTTCTCTCCAAACTGGACTACTGCAACTCTCTGCTAGCGGGGCTTCCAGCTAACTCTATCAATCCTCTTCAGCTGCTCCAAAACGCTGCAGCACGAGTGGTCTTTAATGAACCTAAAAGAGCACATGTCACTCCGCTACTCATCCGTTTGCACTGGCTGCCAGTTGCTGCTAGCATCAAATCAAAGCTCTGATGTTCCCGAACGCTCGCGTTCAATCTGCCCAGTTGCTGGAATGAACTCCCTAATGGCATCAAAACGGCAGAGTCACTCGTTGTTTTCAAGAAACGACTAAAAACTATTTAGTCTCCACTTCACTTCATAATCTGCAATTTCCTTTCTGGATATATTACTAATTGTACTCAACAAAAAAAAAAGTACTAATACTTTCCTTCTTAGACTTTACAGACCTGAAACTTGCCTATAGCACTTATTCATTATTGCTCTTATAGTTGTGTAAATTGCTTCCTTGTCCTCATTTGTAAGTCGCTTTGGATAAAAGCATCTGCTAAATGACTAAATGTAAATGTAAATGTACTGGGGTCGGGTGAGGAGAGATGGAGAGGATTTTTGTTGTCGCTGTGATGCTTGCTCTGCCCATAAGGGTCCCCCAGGTCGGTCCATTGCTCCCCTTCAGCTGTAGGAGGGCCAATGGAGAGGGTGGGGGTAGATGTAATGGGGCCATTCCAACGCTCAGAGAGGGGCAACAGGTTTGTGTTGACGTCTATGGATTATTTTATGAAATGGCCAGAGGCGTACGCACTACCAGACCAGGAAGCTGAGACAGTGGCAGATGCATTAGTAGATGGGATGTTTTGCCGTTCTGGGGTCCCTGAGTCCATCCACAGTGACCAAGGCCGAAACTTTGAGTCACTGGTATTTGCAGCTATGTGTGTAAAACTGGGGATCCACAAGACCAGGACTACCCCTTTTCACCCACAAAGTGACGGTCTTGTCGAAAGATTTAATAGAACACTGGCAGAACAACTAGCCATTGTGACTGAAACTAATCAGCGAGATTGGGACAAGCACCTGCCATTTATTTTAATGGCATGCCGATCGGCTGTGCAAGACTCAACTTATGCACACCCACCCTTTTAATGTTGGGCAGAGAAATCGGAATGCCTGGGGAAATGGCTTATGGAAGGCCTTCGGATGCACCTGCTGTGCCTCCGGGCCCTATATATGCAAGTAGGCTCCAGGCCTTTTTAGAAACTCCTCATAGTTTTGCAAGGCAACAGTTGCTGAAAGCAGGGACCCGACAGAAGCGGAATTATGTTTTGATTTCAGTTTCAGCTGATGATGATGTGCGGCGAGTTGACTTGCCTGTGTAGATACTGCTGAGGATAAGTGAGTGATAGCTGCTGGATCGTAGCATGGCGAAGTCTTCTGTAATGATTCGTCACAAGGATTGGGATCCATTGTGCTAGCTTTATTATAATCATAGTCAGAAATGGCAAAGTAAACAGAATTGTGGTCATCAACAGGCAAATGGTCAGGGCAGGCAGCAAACAATCATAAACGGTAGGAAGGCAGGGTCACAACAGAAAAATGAAGACAGAATATAAATGCTCAGAAATGTCAACAAGATGCAAACAAGACTTTGCAAAGAGTGAGACAAACCAGTCTGCTTAAATAGATGGTGAAGTGATTTCAGCTGGACCTGTAATTATTCCCGGTACGGGGAAGATGGGAAATGTAGTGAAGAGGAAACGATGACTGCTGGTCAGAGGAGGGAATCACAGAGTTTGTCTCTGTGACAATATATGGTCCCAGGGATAACAAAGGAATTGTCTGTAGACTTTCAAGAAAGGGTTGTCTTGAGGCACAAGGCTGGGGATGGTTACAGAAAAAGTCAATTTTGGAATAAGGCTTTAATATGAAAAAATGTTACAGTATAACTTTTACAGTCATATTTAACTGTATATATATATATATATATATATATATATATATATATATATATATATATATATATATATATATATATATATATATATATATATTAGGGATGGGAAGATTATTCGATATGTATCGATACGCGGTCATGCGCGTGCATGATGCGAGTGCATCGGTTGAGCAGCAGAGGATGAATGAAATTTTGGAAGCAAATCGAGATGCATTAGTTTTTGCGAGATGCATCGGTTTTTCCAAGATACAGCTTATATTTTTAATATAGAATGTATTTTTTATTTATTAACAAGTGTTGTCAACCTGTTTTTGGTGCATAATTTAATTGACCTACATAAAGTAAGCCTAACGGATTTGCGGATGTGTACACTTACACTACAACTCAGTGTATCAGGTGTGCGGATGAAGCTAGTGGTGCGCCCTCAGAAAGCGCGAGAAGCAAAACAAACATTTTTTTCCCCACTGAGTTTTAAATCTAAAGTATGGCAACATTATGGATTTAAGGATGGACGACATGACAGGACAGATGCAATTTGCAAAAGTGTGCCGCGCATCTGTAAAATACGCGGGCAGTACGACTAATCTGAAATCTCACTTGAAGCGGCGCCACGGTGTTGTTGTGAAAGCTCCATCTTCCAGTGGACCTCTATTCTGCCGCCCTATGCGCGGATATAACTGAGGACGCGCCGGTGTCGCGGACCTCTATTCTGCTGCCCTATGCGCGGATATAATTGAGGACGCGCGGGTGTAGCGGACCTCTATTCTTCCACCCTATGCGCGGATATAACTGAGGACGCGGGTGTCGCGGACCTCTATTCTGCCACCCTATGCGCGGATATAACTGAGGACAAGCGGGCGCTGATGGAGGTGTCGCGGACATAACTGAGGATGCGGGTGTTGCGGACGCCGCCCTCTCTATACTGCCGCCCTAGGCGGCCGCCTAGGTCGCCTCTATGGACGTGCCGGCCCTGTTCATCTGCAAAGATATTCAGCCTAGTGTCACGGAGAACGAAGGTTTTGAACACCTCCTTCTGTTAATTTTTATTTAATTATAATAATAGTAATAATATTAATAATAATAATGATAAAAATAATGGGTGTCACGGTGGCACAGTGGGTAGTTTGACCACCTCACAGCAAGAAGATTGCTGGTTTGTTATATTTTTATTAGCCTGTTGTTTACAGTGACAGTGATGTTTCAAAGCAGCATAACACTGCTAGTTCACGACCTTAAGTTTTGAATATTCAGTGGCAAAATATATCTTTGTAAAACTTGTTTTCATAGTTGAAAAGTTAAATCACAATTCTTGTTGTGCAATGCTAAACCTTTATGTTGAAAGAGTGCAAATATATATATTTTAATATATATTGCACTTATACATTCTGTTTATCTTGAAAATACTTAAATAATATGTGCTATATGTTCTAAAATGGCCCTCTACTGTAAACTGACACTCTGGCTCTGAGAGAAAAGCCAGTTTGTAAAAAAAAAAAAGTCAATAAATTTAATAATTAAAATTTAAGTATAATTAAATAAATTTAATAAATTTTAATAATTAAATAATTAAATAAATTTAAGTTAATAAATAATCAATCAAACTCATTCAATGGCACAGCATCCTCTTTCACATAATCTCATAAACTTGATCTAATAAGTTAGTGCTGAATTATCGCATTGTATCATGATATGGGTGTAAATCGTATCGTGTTGCATCGCAATATGTCACAAATGTATCGCTAATATATCGGATCGTATTCTTTGTATCGAGATGCGTATCGGATCGGCATTATAGCTTAGATGCCCAACCCCAATATATATATATATATATTATTCTGTTTATTTACTTCATTCATTCATTCCTTTTCTAGAAAAAATGGTGAATTTTCATAAAAAAGTAATTTTAAAATCTATATTTCTGGTTTTGTCAGTGTGTTCTACCTTTCGCAGTCCCATATTCTCCAGTTTTTGCTCCAGTGATTCTTCTAGAATGGGTTTAGATTCTCTCATCAGCGCAGGCTTTCCTTTACGTATCTTTGGAGCCTTCCACTGGGGTTCATCTGAATCTTCCTGACCTGTACACACACATTTTGTTTTAAGCACACCATGGCATAATCAAAGTATCCACTCTGCAGTAGTTTAAAACAACAATAGCACTTACTATCTCTGTCTTGTTCCACTGGCTCCTCTGAAGAATCCTGGTCATTCAGTGAAACAACTGAAACTACCAAATATAATAAAAAAAATGAACAAAACCTCATTCAATTCATGTCATTTTTATTTAATTTGCAATAGCAAAGTTCACATATGGCAGATATAATTCATTACCTGGGACTGGGGTGGCTGATAGTTTTTTAATCTGTGTGATAAAGCATAAATTAGAAGGATAATTGGCGTTTAAGAATCATGACATTTGCATATCATTTTACAATAACTAAATTCAGTTTATTAATCTAGTTTTAAATTATTACTTTAAGAAGGTAAAGGTGAAGAGTGCCAATTTTCAGTATGAAATTACCTCAGTAAAGCTACAGCTATATAAAAGCTATACGTTTGTAGCAGGTTTAATATGGTTTTGCAGTTTTAAACTAGACATTATTTCAATACTATTTTTAATGTGCTATATATTGTTGTTTAATTGTAGTTACAATCTATATTTATTTATTTATGTAGGTTTATATTTTGTCAACAAAATTATATTTAGTTTTCATATATTAGTTTCACTTTTAGTTTTAGTAATTATAGTTTAGCAGAGTTAACAGACAAAAACAAAGTTTGGTTTTTGCACATTTTGATATATTAATTCACTTAGTAATACATATATTCACCTTATTCTCCGCCGACGAGCGGGTGCTGCCATTTGAATCTTTTTGGCTTGAGACTTCCGGTCTCATTCACTTCCATTCATTTTTTGACGTTAAAAACTGCTCATTACGCCGCTTGATGTTGAAATTTGATATTTACTTATTTTATTATTTTACTTGGTCTGCTTAGCCAGGCAAACATCTGTTTGTAGAGCAAGTAGTTTGATCGTTTTCTGGCGTTTAATTTTCCCAGTCATTTCTCCTATAGGCGACTGAATCGGAAGTTCTAAGACAATCGCGAAAACAGGCACACTTCCGCATTTTAGAATAAGGTCAATAAAATGCATATTTAGACAAGCATGAACACAAAACCATACTAATTAAATGGGGTCATTGCTTAAATACTGTCCATTATAAAGGACATAACATTTTTTATTTATTTGGTTTTTTTTTTGTGCTTCCTGAGCTTTTTATGATCTAATCCAATCAAATGGCTGTAAGGTTCGGCATATTGTAACTTGAAAAAAATCCACAACACTGAAAAGCAGCACGGCATCGCTTCACTCCAGACACAGACATAAGCCACATTTACAATGTTTTTATTCAGATTTATTGATATATTTGCCAATTTTTCATAGATTTAATGTAAAAAAAGTGTTACTACACTCTTTTGTAACATTTTAAGCTTTAGATAAGGAATATGTCTGTCCATTAGGATATACAATGAGTTCAAAATCTGTTAAGGAATTTAAATCTCCAGTAATGCTGATTGAATTTATATATATATATATATATATATATATATATATATATATATATATATAAAACTATATAATGTACCAATTAATTGCTAAAACAATTTCAAAAGCATAATATACAGATCTTGAAGTTCTTGAGCATATAGCAGATGGAAATATCTTAGATGTGGGCATTATGTCCAGTGATGATACATTTTTTATAAACAAAATGCAAACTATACACTACCTGACAAAAGTCTTGTCCCCTATCCAAGTTTTAGGAACGGCAAATAATACCTTGACTTCTAGTTGATGTAGATCGTTTGGCATCAGAAGTGGCTTATTTGAAAGCCAAAGGCCTCTAGATTATGCTTATTTTACCAAAATAAAATATGATCATGCCTTTAATATTTAATTATTTATTCCCAAGAGCTTGGAGGACTGCAACCAAACACCTCTTCAATGACTCAAATAACTTATTAATAAAGTCATCTGGAATGGCAAAGAAAGCGTTCTTGCTGGACTCCCAAAGTTTATCAAGATTCTTTGGATTCATCTTCAAAGCCTCCTTCTTCATCTTACTCCAGACATGCTCAATAGACAAATTAACAACCTACATCACACGGGTCCTCAGTTGCATAAAAAGGCTGACTGCAATAGCAAACATGTTGTGTTGTGCGGAAGGACGCCAAATTCGAAAATTTGAAAACTTAACTTTTACCGTACACCACACTGCTTTTTCTGCCAACTGCAGACGTCTTTGGCTAATAGGGAGCTGAATGAAGTGACAACCTAATTAGAAATGCTGGACTTTCATGTTATATCAGGTAAGTTCACACTATGCTAAATTATACACATTGTACTGGTTTTTGACTGCAGCAATAATTTCAGCAAAAACATTTATTAACATGGTTAATTAAACTGCAGACACTGAATGCTAAGTATGAAACGTGAAAGTGTAAGTTATTAGGCTATTAAGTTGGTTTTATATTTACAAATTCATTCAGAGACAACTTGTGACACACTCCCTATATTGTTTACCACAGCACTTTGAATGCTCGGTCTGAAATAACCTGCAAGTGTGACTTGAAAACAACATTAACATTGTTTATTTAAATGTGAACAATGTTGTACTTTGATAGTCATTAGCTGCTAATAGGAATTCACTATTTATAGTTTGCAAATATTACTTTTATGAAATTATCCTATTAAGGAGAAAGTCTGAAAGTGCGAATATAAAGCCCACTTTACCTTTATTTGTACGTTCACATAGCCTGCCGTACAGGTGCAGTTCGCTGTCAAAATGCATTTGTTCTGCTTGTTGATGACTGCCCAGGCCTTGTATAGCTTCGTCTTCTTTCCTTGTCTTTGGCTAGGCAGAACCTCGTTTTTAGCACTACAAAGTGGTGAATCTGGTAATCATGGAACATTATTTCTTGCACATGACCACACAGAACAAAATTGTTGGCATCCAAAGATTTGTAGGCCTTTAACTTCTTTCTTGTTAAAACACTTGGGCTGCGTCCAAAACCGCCTACTACTTGGTAGGTACTGCATTTGAATTTAAACGTACTACTCGGCCGTTAGAAAGGTACGTTCTATACAGTATAAATGTGAAAAGTATGAATGGAATTCGGACATACTACATCCGCCATTTTGTCATGGTCATGTGACCTACCTGCGTCAATTGCGTTGCTTTACTCCCATTCATGAATTCGCTTGCGGGACATCATGGGATAGCGCAGCATGCATGGGATGCGCACTCTAGAATCTCGCCGGAAGTATTAAGTTATCCAGGTAGTTCTCGGAAACTGATTTTTGAATTCTATGAATTCGGACATACTACTCGGCTCACATACTGATTTTAGCGTACTATATAGTATGGAAGTATGCGGTTTCGGATGCAGCTTTGGAGCTTCATTGAGATAGTATATTTGGGGCTGGATGCTTGGCCATTTCGTCTTATCCAATATCCATTGGGAGGGTGCTATTGCAGATGGACCTGTCAGAAGAACGTCACTCACTTTGACGTTAATTTTGCAGAATCACTGTGCTTATCACTGGGTGATGAGTTGTTATAATACGCTGAAAGCATTATGTTAATATTAAATCTAATATGTAATCAATATATCTTATTATTAAGACAACAACAAACTTTGTACCGCTTCGGATGTCATTTCCTCGCTATAAATGCTAGCGCTCCTGTTTTTTTTCTGCCACCTCCGTGCACGTGCATCCTGAATGTTTATAAACATGGTAATTGGTCTATAATGTTCATGCCTAATGACTGGGCTGGCCAATCCTGGAGCACCTTGACCTTCTTTGCTTAGAGGAACTTTGATGTGGAGGCAGAAATATGAGAGGGAGCGCTATCCTGCTGAAGAATTTGCCCTCTTCTGTGGTTTGTAATGTAATGGGCAGCACAAATGTCTTGATAACTCAATGTTATGGCTGTTGATGTTGCCATCCATTCTGCAGATCGCTCACATGCCCCTATTCTAAATGTAACCCCAAACCATGTTTTTTTCCTTCACCAATCTTGCCTGATTTTTGTGAGAATCTTGGCTCCATGAAATTGTTGCTCTTACAACTGAGATTGACGAAAAGACTTTTGTCAAGTAGTGTACAAAAAAAATCTAAAAATTAAAATGGTACAGTCTTAAGCTTAGTGATTTTGAAAATAAATTTCAAGATTATACCAACAATCTTTTTTTTTTTTTTTTTTTTTTCGTATTTTATGTTGGTATAATGTTCTGAACTGTTCTGACCTGATGTCCATTGAAATAGACAAAAAAGTGTATACTTTCATTCATTCATATTCTTTTTGGCTTAGTCCCTTTATTGATCCGGGTCGCCACAGTGGAATAAATCGCCAACTTATCCAGCACATTTTTACGCAGCGGATTCCCTTCCAGCTGCAACCCATCACTGGGAAACATCCATTCACATTCATTCACACACATACACTACGGACAATTTAGCCTACCTAATTCACCTGAACCACATGTCTTTGGACTGTGGCGGAAACTGGAGCACCCACAGGAAACCCATGCGGATGCGGGGAGAACTCCACACAGAAATGCCAGCTGACCCAGTCGAGGTTCGAACCACCGCGTCGTCATATATATATATATATATATATATATATATATATATATATATATATATATATATATATATATATATATACTTAAAGGTTGTAGAATTTGCAATTTTGTAATTTGGTCTCATTTAAAGGAGCCTCTGGAACCGTGAAAACATACTTTTACATTTTTAGAAACTTGGACCATAATTCGGGCCTGAAGAGGTTAATATTTAGATACAAATAATTTTTGCATTTTCCTATAACTAAAGTACAATAATAAAATCCTGAAAAATGCAGACAAACTTATTCAAATTAAATATAATATAACATTAAACATGCCCAGTGAACATTGTTTGGCACATGAAAAAACAGATCAAATCATCTACAGCCTTGTTTTTCTATATAAATGTGTTTGACTCATGTGTTTGGTTATAGAGTTAGAGTTAGGTTAACCCTAGCTCTAAACACACTCAGTGTTTAAAAAGCTCTTCAGGTATTCTTCTAAACAGCCGCAGGTGATATTTTCAGCCACAGGATGAGTGCTTATTAACTCTGAAAATAATAATTTATTTTTGCTAATTATTATTTTATTTTAGTTCGTTTTTCCATAACTGTTGTTAGCTTTATTTATTTAGTTACTATTATTATTATTAGTAGTAGTATTGTTATTATTATTATTAATAATAATAATAATAATTTGACCAACAGATTAAGTCTAACTTTCAGTTTACATTTATGAAAATAACACTGGTATACAATATTATTATTTTATTTTATCTTTTTTAATGACAGCCTGCAACAACCTGTTAACTGACTTCTGTGCACAAAGCCAATAAGATGTTACTTATAAAGACTAACAAAAGACTTTTGAAGATAAGCACTGGAATCTAAAAACATTATTTTTGTAATTCTGTTTGGTGTCTCTAGTGGCACTTTGCTATTAAGGCAACATTTCCTGAAAAGAGCATGGCATTACAGCTGACTTTCATCCTCTGTTTCTGATTGTGGAGTAAATAACCAACCTTCTCCTCCTGGGATTTGATGAGTCTGTCCTTCTGACTCAGCTGAGAGGACAGAGAGACGACCTGCTGCTGAAGCTTCTGCACACTGGAAGTGGAGTTTTTTTCTACAGACAAGGCCTTTAGAAGCCTGGAGTTTTCACTTTTTAGCTGTGACACACATAGAAATTATAGATGTTATGAGATGAGTTTAACATGATGCATTTGATTGCATTACCAGAAAGACTTGCCTCTTTGTTTTCCTGCTGATGTCTTTTCTGTGCTTCCTGAAATTTTCTTCTCCATTCACTTTTCTAAATCAATAAAACATATATTTCAGGGTTTCTGCAGGTATCTTAAAATCTCATTTAATGCTTGTTTATGCCTTATTTTAAATTGTAATGTCATACACAACCCACAACAAACCATGGACTCCATATACACATGTACAGTATATGTGCATGTTTTTTTACTTATAAGTAAATATTTTGATTCTATTAAATCGTGGTTTCACGATAACACAACAAAAGAAATATTACTCTGAACAGAATTTAGAATTAGAAATGGCCTAGGGGACAGCTTAAACAGTCAACATTTAATTGAAGATATCTACAATCACTAGCCACTTTATTAGGTACATCTGTCCAACTGCTCGTTAACGCAAATTTCTAATCAGCCAATCACATGGCAGCAACTCATTGCATTTAGTCATGTAAACATGGTCAAGACGATCTGCTGCAGTTTAAACCAAGCATCAGAATGGGGAGGAAAGATGATTTAAGTGACTTTGAACATGGCATGTTTGTTGGTGCCAGATGGGCTGGTCTGCGTATTTCAGAATCTGCTGATCTACTGGGATTTCCAAGCACAACCATTTCTAGGGTTTACAGAGAATAGTCAGAAAAAGAGAAAATATCACGTGAGATGGCCAGACTGGTTCCAGCTAATGGAAAGGCAACAGTAACTCAAATAACCACTCTCTACAACCAAAGTATGCAGAAGAGCATCTTTGAATGCAGAACACGTCCAACCTTGAGGCAGATGGGCTACAGCAGCAGACTGTGACCCACTCCTGTCAGGAAACTGAAGTAACAATTTGCACAGCCTCACCAAATTGGACAATAGAAGATTGAAAAAATGTTGCCTGGTCTGATGAGTCTCGATTTCAGAATTTGGCGTCAACAACATGAAAACATGGATCCATCTTCTGCCTTGTATCAACAATTCAGGCTGGTGGTGGTGTAATGTGGTCTTGTATTTTCTTGGCACACTTTGGGCCCATTAGTATCAATTGAGCATCATGTCAACGCCACAGACTACCTGAGTATTTTTGTTGACCATGTCTATCCCTTTATGACCACAGTGTACATATCTTCTGATGGCTACTTCCAGCAGGATAATGCATCATGTCATAAATCGTGAATTATTTAAGACTGGATTCTTGAACATGACAATGAGTTCACTGTACTTAAATGATCTCCACAGTCACCAGAAATCTTTTATCATGTGGTTCAATCACATCTCTAAATGAACCAAGTACAATGAATGCTTGTCTGTTTCATGATGGCTTATCTAAATATCCTGTGTCACACCAGTTTTGCACTGGTTGGACCAAATGACCAAACTGGTTCTGTGTTTTTAATCACAATTTGCAATAGTAATTTAAAGTAAGTTATTACTGAAGCTATATTCAAAATACTTTGGTAAAACTGCTTTTCTTTAAAAAGCAATACTTTTTAATTAACTAAATAATTAACCAAAATTAATAGTATATAAAATGAAAATAGTTTATAAAAATAAAAGGTCTTTATTTTGCTAAAATGTATTTAATGACTTTTATTGCTTTTTAATGCCCCGTGGAAAGCCTGTATTTCACATTTTACACATTTACTGAAACTTCATTTCATTGCTTTATAAAAACTGAAAAAACTAGATTCTGTGCTCTATTAAAACTTGATTCTAATTGATCACTCACAACATTCCAAGCTATATTATTCCCGTTACAACCACAAAAACTAATAGCACAAGTTCACCCAAGTATTTTCAATCAACAAGGCAATATGTTCACATCAAATTTATACGCTTGTCTGTAGCAGTACTGTTTTTGATTGTTTTTGACTGATTATTCATTCATCTTTTGACTAAAAAAATACTAAAAAGTAATTGTATTCTCCATTCAGCTATTTTTTCTGTCAGCTTGGTGTTTAATAAAACAATTTAATGAACTATTAAAGCTTAGAACAGTGTTTTGTTTAATTTTTACATTAAAAAAGCAGGATAAAGTACATACAGGCACAGAATAAAGCCCAGGATTATTAGCAGCTTGATGCGAAGCAAAAGAACTACCTTCATGTTGACTTTTTAAAAATAATAGTTTTCTTTCTTCAGGTTTCCTTTTAATTTGTTGATTTACCACCATTTAAACTATTTTTTTTATGACAGTCACTAAAACTATTGTAGATACAACAAAAATATATTATTGTGGACAATTATTTTAATCAGTGTGTTACTTGATAAATCTATAAATTTATTTGTTCATTCATTCATTCATTTTCTTGTCATCTTAGTCCCTTTATTAATCCGGGGTCGCCACAGCGGAATGAACTTTTTGATCTGATTTTGATCATCTATTTTGTAGCTTAGTTAAATATTATGGTCTTTTTCAAACCTTAATTAGTCTATGAATTACTCAGTACACCCTCTAAAAGTATTTATTTGGACTTTATACCTGCATGGAATCATTTATCGAGCCTTTACAGAAACTCTATTTTACTTTATTTATTTATTCATTTTTGTAGATTAAAAAAAATCTTTATTGCAAACAGAGGACATTGTAAAATAATTTAACCATTAAAGATCACAATACGAATCAATCATTTTATAAGTGCACTGTGTTAATCATTCACACCTGGCTGAACAAATAAAATAAAAAAACTCACCTTTCTGGCTATTCTCTCTCTCAACTCTCTCTCTCTGTTTTCTCTCATTTCTTTCTCAGGGTCACTGTCTTGTTGTAAACTTGCATTGTTGAATCCAGCCATTTCTTTGTTCTGTAACACCAGCAGTTTCTATAGAGAGAATAAGGACAAAGTCACATAGAATATTGTTACAATAACATCAAACTACCTTTCCATCCCATATGAAACACTATTATATTCATCCAGTAGCTCCTCAATTGAATATCTGGCAAAATACAAAACGCATGATCTGTCTCCATCTGCTGGTCACACTTTAAACATGTTCATTTTAAACCAATGTGGACTCACAGCCTCAATAGATGAGCTCTTGCTTGCCATTTCTTTAGACTCCTGGAGAAACAGTTGTCTCAGATCAGCAATTTCCTGATTAAACTTCCTTCTCTCATCTTCTTTCCATCTTTCCAGTGCTTCCTTCTCTGACTGTTCTCTCCTTCGCTGCTGCTCTTGTTCCTGAATTGTTTTGATGATTTTTGCAAGTTGGGTTAAATGCTAAGTTTACGGGAGAACACAAAATCATTGAAGTGCAATATTTTCCACTTTCACTGTACATAAAAGAGCAGCTTGAAAATTTTGGTTATTAAATGGCAAATGTGATTTTTGAATGTATTCTATCCCTTAAATGTAGTAATTCTAGTGTTATGTGACATTTGCAATAAAAACGTGATGAACTCACAGCGAATACATATGTTAACAGTATTTTAAAACATCTGATTATATCTTTCAAAATAACTAATCAGAGTTAAGGGATCTGAAAAATGTAAATTCGTAAACGTGTTTGTTTAAGAAAAACGTACATTTTATTTGGGGGAGATAATCAAAAAAGTTTGCAAGTATATGTTATATGCATTATTTTGTAAAAATTATGTCAATTAAACTGCAAGAAAAGAAATGATATTAACAAAGAGGATAGGAGTTGTTTTAAAACTATATATATATATATATATATATATATATATATATATATATATATATATATATATATATATATATATATATATAAAATATATATATATATATATATATATATATATATTTTTTTTTTTTTTTATTTTTTTTTTTTCCCAGAGATGGGTTGTGGCTGGAAGGGCATCCGCTGCGTAAAAATGTGCTGGATAAGTTGCTGGTGCATTCCGCTGTGGCGGCCCCGGATTAATGAAGGGACTTAGCCGACAAGTTGTTTTAAAACAATATATATATATATATATATATATATATATATATATCTGGGGAAAAAAAATAAAAAAAATATATATATATGTATATATCTTTTTTTTTTTTTTTTTATTATATATATATTTTTTATAATGTGTAATATGTATATATATATATACACAGTTAAAGTCAGAATTATTAGCTTAGCCCTCCCTTTGAATTTTCTTTTTAAATATTTCCCAAATGATGTTGAACAGAGCAAGGACATTTTCACAGTATGTCTGATAATATTAGAATAAAAGCTTTACTTTTTAATTATATTATTAAATATAAAATATATAAATAAATCTTTTTAAATATATACTTATTTAATTAAATTGTGCATTTTAGTATTTCTGAAGAAAAAGCTTTATTATGGATGTAACAGATGTCAAATTAACACTTATGTGACTTTGGTAAATCAAATGTACTGTAAAAGACAAGCATACACACAACTTACAAAGGGTTTCATTATTCTGGGGAAAAAAATATATATTTTTTTTTCATAGTAAGGTTTACAATTGCATGAAATTGCTCATGTCTTTATAAATGAATGCTTTTGTATAAAAAATATTTATAGGGTTCCTACTTGAAGCCAAATATCAAATTTCATGACTTTTCACGACAGTTGTGCTTATATGTTAATATTATAACATAAAAACAATTAGTTAAATTAATAACATTATTAAATTGTTTTAGCTTGAATATAATTTTGGATGCTTTAATAGCCACTATGAAAACAAACAATGTGTAATTTACAACAACAACAACAATGTACTTACCGTTTGCATGCTGCCTCTCATATATTTGACAGCTCAATAGTAGTTTTACTTTATATATAGCTTTAAAGTGATAAACTTTTTAACACCAATGTATTGAAGGGTTATTTTGAAGCGAAAGCTTTTAAAATGTATGTTATCATTAAATGTTAGCCTTAGTTAATAGCCTGATGACTGCATTTAATATAAGTGACGAGGGTGGAAGAAATAAAACTGAGCTAAAAAAAAAATACTGTATAGAAAATAACAATTTTAAAATTTTAAGCAACAAACTAAAATTCCATGACTTGGACACGACAAAAAATATCAAAATTTCCTGAGTTTTAATACATGGAATGGATTTTTTAAATTCCATGATATTACAGAAAACCCATCATTCGTGAAAACCCTGTATTTCGTAAAACCCTGTAATTTGTATTATTTATTTTAAAAAAATGCTATTCCTTTTTCCTTTCTGAATAATGTTTTTTTTTTTTTTTGTCATTCTGAATTTTAGATTAATGTAAGGACTTTGGGAATTGCCAGGGAAATGAACAATATGTTACGTCTTCTCCTGGCAGTATTTTATACTGTACTGTAATGTCAATATGTCATGGAAAGGAATTAATTATTTCAAACTAAAGTCTCCTGCAGCCAGACCTACAGGTATATAAACTAAAGACTGAAATATACTATATTATTAAGCTATAATAAAAAAAAAAATCATGAACTGTTCACGGTACTGTAGAAGGAAAAAAATTCTTTATAAGGTTGAAAGATCTATATATTGGATTTTAAATTTAGTTTCAAAAACAAACTCACCTGCTGTCGCCTTAAATTGTCTGCGTGTTGCTCTTCCTGTAGCTGCATCTGTGTCAGCCTCAGTTTCTCCTTCAGCTCTTCTATCCCATCCTCCATCTCTTCCACCTTCCTCTTCTTCTGTTTCTCTGAGACGTCCAGTATAAACATGCAAAAACAGTAACATTGATGTCATGTAAACAATTTTATTAGGTGAAATAAAGTCCAATTCTACCACTTTAATTTGAAAACCAACCTGCATCTGTGACCTCAGGATGCCGGCGCTGAACATGTGCTTGTAAGTATGAGTAATTGACAAATGACTTTTCACAGAACTGGCACTGTCACGGGAACAAGGAAAACAAACTTTAGAAATGGTTGTGGCCAGCAAGACTATTTTAGTAAACGAAAACTAAGACTAAAACTAGTGGTCAAAAATGTGTTTGTTAACTTAAATAAAGTATGTACAAGAACAAGTAAACGTAACTTTAGAACTGGTTGTAAAAGGTCAGTAAGGCTATTTTAGTAAACGAAAGCTAAAGCTCTTGGTCAACAAATATTTTCGTATTAACTGAAATAAAATGAATGAATTCTAAATAAATGAAGAACTGAAACAAAACAAAACTAACTGAAATAAAATAACAATTAGTAAAAATAATATTTGTTTTCAGAATTTTTTCTCTAGGTAAACACCTTTTGATGCACTTTTACAGTCAAACAACAGTCAAGTGCATAATTAATCACGAAAAACATATTTTCTTTCTAAACATAAAACATGTGCTCTAATTTCTTCAGTTGACAAAAAATAAACTAGGCATGTTTGATTGTTTACATTGTCTTTAATATCAGGGGTCCGTTCTTCGTACCACGCTTAAATGATCTAAGATTATTTGGCAGATCCTGGATCTTTTAATCTTGATAACTGATCTCTCCCTAATTTGGTTCTTCAAACAAGTTCGCGAATCAGATTAGAATGTCTGGATGAACTGATCTGAGATCGCTGCGTGTGTTATGAAGGACAGATCTATCGATCCTCGAAATCATGATCAGCAATGCAACGATTGGCTGACTGCATAGCAGCGTAATGACATCATCTGATTAATATTCAATTATCCATGTGAGCAAAATTACATCAAATTAGCAGTAAATGGTTTGTTAAATATGACACTCAAGAACTTTCCACATTTGTTGTGAGCTGCAGGCTTTACACTTTCATTTGTCAAGACAAGAGAATTCATTAAGTATTTCAATGCAAATCAATGTATTTAGTTCTACATTTAGAAAAGATTTGCTTTATTATAGTAGCCGTTTTTTAATCGTTTTTTAATCGGTGTATAGTCTATTAACTCTGATAAACTAGAAACACTAAAACGTAAACCAAATATTCATTAATTCATTCATTTATTTATTCATTCATTCATTCATTTTCTTTTTTAGCTTGACCCTTTATTAATCAGGGGTCAATGCGAGGTCACAGCAGTATGAACCTGCAACTTGTGCAGCATATAATTTTTTTTCTTTTTTTTCCACAGCGGATGCTCTTCCAGCTGCAACTGAAAACTGGAAAACACCCATACACACTCATTCAAGCATACACTACGGCCAATTGAGCTTATTCAGTTCACCTGTACTGCATGTCTTTGGACTGTCCAGAGGCAACCCACTCGAACATGGGGAGAACATGCAAACTCCACACAGAAATGCCAACCGACCCAGCCATGGCTTGAACCAGTGACCTTCTGCTGTGAGGCAGTCATGCTACACACTGTCTCTCTATGTGGCTGCTTTCCAAGCATTCTACATTTCAAATAACAAACTCACAAAAAGATATGAGAATCTTTTATATAACTTACACAAGCTTATTCCGAATATATGTGAAAGACACTTGTCAGATTTTATTTTAGAGAGCAGGTGGTGTGCCTGGTGTGCTTTTAATTTTTCTGTCTGATTCAGGCGGCTAACGATGCCAACAGCTTCTTTGTTTAAACAGCGCAAAGGCTCGTGCTTGTAGGGGCGTGACGTGGTAACGTAGAGCCAATCTGCGAATCACAGCATATTAAGTAAGCTGACCATTCAGAGCCTCTTGACAGCGCGCCTTTCAGAGGAATTAGGAAATATAACAGTTGTTTTAATGTTTGCTGTATATGATCAAAGTAAGATGTATGATAAAATAACGTGATTCTCTACAAATGAAGCATGAGCACACATTGCTTTGCATTTTATAAACAAAACCAAGCCTTAAAAATACACTGTGGACCACCCTTTTAAAACTAAACAAAAAATGTTCAGAAATTAAAAACTAAACTAAAACTAACAAAAACATTAATGAAACTAAGTAAAACTAAATACAATTTTTTTTACGGAAAATAAGAAAATTCAGTAGATTGTACAGAAAATTAAAAAAAAAATTTTTTTGAAATAAAAAATTATTAAAAAATACAAAAGATTAATAAACTTGGTGGTCAGTGAACTACCTAAAAATTAGAACATTAAAACTCTGATTAGAGACTACATTTATAAAGTAAGATCCAATAAAAACAACTACTCTATACATAATGCTGCTCTAAATCAACATTATATCATATTATTGCATTATACGGTTGTAATTGCTATGCAAATACCTTCATGTCTCATTAAACAATAAAAACAAGCATTTAAATAAAGAAATACTTTTTCAACACTGATAAGATTTGTATTCATTCCTTACTTTTTATTTATTTGATTGTATTTATTTATTTATGTATTATTAGTTTTACAATTATTCCTATTTAAATAGTCTGTTATTATTATTTTTTTTATTTTATGTTTTATTCATTAAATCATCATATTAGACTAATTTTATACCAAAGACTGGATACAAAAAGAAGCTATAATCAAATTAAAATTCAATTTTTATATATTATTCATAATAACAATACAATATTTATTTATTTATTTATTTTATTTGTATATTAAATTAATGACAGTATAACATTTTAAAACAAATCTATTTAAAATAAACTGTTTTTGTGAACATTCATTCATTCATCCAATTTCTTTTCAGCTTAGTCCCTTTATTAATCAGGGGTCACCACAGCGGAATGACCCACCAACTTATCCAGCATACGTTTTACACAGTGGATGCCGTTCCAGCTGCAACCCAGTACTGGGAATCATCCATACACTCTTGCATTTACACACATACACTATAGCCAATTTAGCTTATTCAATTCACCTGTAGTGCATGTCTTTGGACTGTGGGGGAAACTAGAGCACCCGGAGAAAACCCATGCAAAAACAGGGAGAACATGCAAACTCCACATAGAAATGTCAACTGACCCAACCGAGGCTCGAACCAGCGACCTTTTTGCTGCACTACCGCCCCGTCCCTTTTTAACATTGTTTATAAAAATATAGTACGTTAAAATGATAAGATTTTAAAATGCTTATTGGTATAAAACATCCCAAATTAGTGTATAACTGAATGATCTTTAAAAAGGAGGAAGCTGACCTTGTGATAATTATTAGCACTAGCCTGTAGGAGAAGCTGTTGTGTGGCAATCAGTTGCTTTCTCCGTCGATTCTCCTGCTTGGTTTCTTGCAGACTTTTTTCAAGTTCAGCCCTTTGTCCTTCTCCTTGCTGGACCAGAGAAGTTGCAGCCTGCAGACGCTCCTCTAGTTCTGCCAGCTGAGTGCTCAGGAAATCCTGGCATTGCAGCAGGTACTCTGTGCTCAACTGTGACATACGGAGCAGTTTGACCAAAGAAGGGTCAACAGGCCCACGGCAGTTTGGACACCGCTCACCCTCCAATGCACAGAATGTTACGGTCATAATGAAGTCCTGAAGCACGCTGACGTCCATGTCTCGAGCAACACGGTCCACATCAAGGGTGGAGAGACGCCTCCAGTCTATAGGCTCGGTGCGTGAGCGGAAGCGGAAGAGCTGTAACTGGTTTGCTGGGCTCCAGGGCTGCGTGCTTGACAGAGATGTGGTGTAGGGCTCTCCGGGTGAAAACTGGCCCAACATGACCAATGGTTTGTGACAGAGAGATGAACAGAGATGGTGATTCCTGAACAGAGGCTGGATGAGGAAAAGAAGTTAGAGAGTAAACAAAGAGTGTTTCTGGTTTAACAAATAAGACTATGCTTATTTCTCAAAGAATTACTGTATGATATGACACCGCTGGAATATACTTTTGAATATATATTTGATTTTTAACTGTACTAGAGCTATTTTTACTAAGTAAGTATTGTTACTATTTTGTGGTTTTTCTAAAAACTAAAATGTCCTCTTAGGGAGATTATAAGACTTCTTTCTAAATAATTAAAATAAATGCAAGGCCCAAACATTGGAACAGTTCAGAGCAGGGGTGCCCAAACTCGGTCCTGGAGAGCTAGTGTCCTGCAAAGTTTAGTTCAAACCCCAATCAGACACACCTGTGCTAGTTAATCAAGCTCTTAGTAGGCTTTCTATTCACCTTATTCTCCGCGGACGAGCGGGCGCAGCCATTTGAATCTTTTTGCCACGAGACTTCCGGTCTCATTCACTTCCATTAATTTTTAGACATTAAAAACTGCTCGTTTCGCTGTTTGATGTTGCAAACTGATATTTCCTTGTTATATTATTCTACTTGGTCTGTATAGTCATGCAAACATTTGTTTGTAGAGCAAGTAGTTTGACAGTTTTTTGCCGTTTATTATTCCTAGTCATTTCTCCCATAGGCGACTGAAACGGGAGTTCTATGACAATCGCGAAAACAGGCGCACTTCCACATTTTAGAATAAGGTCAATAAACATCTATGTATTGAGGCATGTTGGAGCAAAAATCTGTTGGACACCGGCACTCCAGAACCGAGTTTGCGCACCGCTGGTTTAGAGAATGGGATTTTCAGTTAGAAACTACTTACATTTTAGGCTGTTCAACACACATAATTTTTGTACTGTTTCTGTAAAACAGAATATTTATTTTGGTTCATATTTATTTGAGACATATTCAGTAATATTTTGTTATTCACAGTTTAAGATAAAGTTTAATTTGATAACATTAAAAAAAAAAAAAAAAAAAAAAAAAATATATATATATATATATATATATATATATATATATATATATATATATATATATATATATATATATATAAACTTTTTACTCATGCTAATTTATTTATTTATTTTGTCAGTTAGTTTAGTTTAAAACTTTATTAATCCCCTTTGGGGCAATTCATTCTGACATGGTTGGTAAACACCAACACTTAACATCAAGTACACAAACAAAAATCCCCCCCAAAAAAACAATAACAATAATACATAATAATAACTAATAATAACAAATAAAAATCCATCGATTAACTACATTTATTACGTAACCGAGTTGCTTCAGGTACAAAAGTGAATTTATAACAATTTGTGGAACATCTTATTGTCCTTAGACGTCGCCCATCTACTTAAAATATGTTTAAAGGGTGTGTGCTGTGTCCTAGTATTTTATATGCCATCCTCAACACCTGCTGTTTGTAATAGGATGCAAAACTTTGCAGGAGAACCCCTAAAACCTTTGAGCACAAATTAACAATGCCTTTAAGATGATTCTTGTTTTTTTTATAGACGAAAACAGTTAGTTAATCAGTGAAGTTAGTTAGTTAAACAGTTGGTTAGTTAGTACATTAGTTGCAGACAACAACACACATGTACTATGAAAGTCAAAGACTCCATGATTTCTATGACAACAGCTGCTAAAGCCATTGTCAGGCAACAGAATGCACTACTTTTTTATGAGTTTACTTTCAGACAAAGTTTAGCAAATTGTAAACAATGAAATGTGTGTGAAAAAAACACCAAACCTATGTTTTCTGCAGTAGATAAATAAACTGAACATTAGTACTGAAATAAAACATCAACACAACCAAACTAGATCTACCGAATGAGTACATGAAAAAGATCTCATATTTGCATAAGAGCAATTTTATGTTTACCTGTAAATGTGCTGGGTAAGGGTTCATCTCGCTCTGATATGAATAAGCGTTATAGTGTCTGATGTACTTTAGTCTGAGTTTACATATAAACAAAACACTGTCTCTCTGCAACTCAAACTAAACCCCCCCACTAATAGAGTTTAACCTCTCCTGTTTCTAGACAACCAGACACACCTGAAAATCACACATTTAGCCTAACTGACTGCATCTAAACAACAGCTAGCCAATATTATATATCCCTATTGGTCATGGTCACACTTTACAATAAGGTACTATATTTCTCAGTTTTTTCAGTATTATACCAGTTTTTACGGTATTAATCCAACATTTATCAATATTTTACATCCAAAGCTGTGCTTTCTTACAATGCGTTTAACAGACTAAGCCAAAGGAAAGTGAGTGAGTGAGTGGGTGGTAACTATTAGCCATTGACATACATAGCAGGAAAAAAACATATGATTGTGTCTTTGTTAAATCCAAATACAGCCTATTCTATTGCATATTATAACTTATAATCACACACACACACAAACACACATAGATAGTCCGATTGTAAAAGACATGGGATGATCATCAGGGTGTTTGTGCAGCATGCTTCCTTTCAGATAAAATAATTATTATTATTTTTAAATTCTATAATTGTTTTAATGCCTCCCTTACTTGGAAAGATTTGTGGTAAAACTTCGAGGAGTGGAAGTGTTACAGTTAAAATTAAAACTTTCTTTTCAGAAAAGTGTTCAGTAAAGCAACGTAATGTTTTCATGTAACATCAAAATAAAGATTAACCTTTTTTAATGTTCATTTAAAACATGCTAACAAAAAATAAAGATATAGCCTATAACTGGCCCTAATATGAGAAATATGTCATCTTAATGATGAAAATATGTCTTCACAAAATCCCATTATCACAAGAAAATACCTTTATAACATTATTAAGGGTCCGTATACATTTTGTTAATTTATTTTCCGAGTTTAAACGGAATAAAGGAAATGGAGAAAACTGACGTTTTTTCATTTTTCTTTTGCTCAAGAAAAAAATTTGGCTCAATTTTCGTTTTTTTTTTTATTTAGGGTAGGAAAACGGATAAACAACTTTAAAATTCATTATACACATGTAGGAGATGGGTCCGGGGGGTCCCATAATGCAATCCACAACCACAAATAAATAGCAAACATAAAATACGGAAACTGTGAACAGATATTTTTACAGTGTAGCCTTGCCAGGAAGTTATAAGTGTACAATACTCAGGCTTGGCCCTATAGTCGGTGTTACATGGCCTTTTGTATAAATAAAATAAATTTAGTTCAGTTGGACATTTACATTAAGTTTTAAATTTACTACAGAGGGAGGTGCAGGCGCCGCACTTCTCTTCCAAGCAGCAGCTGCAGGAGTGCCGAGAATGATGCAAGTGTCGGATCCAACAGCCAAAGAGAAAGATGATCTTTGTTTTTTTTTTGTTTAAAAATAACTGTTTAATATACATAATAAACTATTTACTTATTCTATCATTTGAACCACATACTAAAACATAGGCCTATGCCTGATACATTCATTGTGTGTGCATAAATTATATAAAAACATTAATTAGCAGTATAATTATTTGTCATTAAATTAACATCACTGCCAAACTCCTTGCTATGCTCCTGATGCTGAGCAAAATATAGCCATTTTTGAGCAGCACCTCATTTGCATCATTGTTTCCAAGCTAGGCCTGGCTTTATAATAATAGGCTTTCTTGATTATTTCCACGAATTATCGTGATGTCATTAAAACTACACCTATTTAACAAAACATATCAAAGTCCCTTTATTCTATAGTATTTGCCTCTCTGTCTCTCTCTCTCTCTCTCTCTTTCTCTCTTTATATATATATATATATATATATATATATATATATTTATGTGTGTGTGTATGTGTGTGTGTGTGTGTGTGTGTGTGTGTGTTATATAGCTTAGAGAGAGAGAGAGAGAGAAAGAAACACAGCTTCACCCTGTGTATGACAAAAATTAAACCTGCTATAAGCTACACATACCTTGGGTTGAAAATAAGTGCTAATGGAAAACTAAATGTGGCTGTGAATGTACTAAAAGAGAAAGCAAGAAGGGCCTTTTACGCCATTAAAAAATCAACACAAATAAAATGAAATTCCAATCCGAATCTGGCTCAAAATTTTCAGTCGGTGATTGAACCTATAGTTCTATATGGGAGTGAAGTGTGGGGTCCTCTTTTCAGTCATGAGTTTGATAAGTGGGACAAAAATCCAGTTGAAAGCCTACATGCAGAGTTCCGTAGGAGCATCCTCAGGGTACAGAGGAACACACCATGCAGGGCAGAATTAGGCCAGTATCCTCGACTTATGCACATTAAGAAACAATCCGTTAAATTTTGGAAACACATTAAAATGAGTGACCCCAACTCTTATCATTTTAAAGCCCTCAAAACCCAAGAAATTGACATTGAAAAAAGCCCCCTGATTCAGATGGTCCTGAAGCTGCAAACACAAACCAACACAATGAATATGACTAACAGCAGGCAGCATCAGGACACGGACATGCTCATCCACAAAATTTAGCCCAATCAAATAATGAATGCACGAAAAGAAGAGTATCTGATTTACTGGAATGAAGCACCCCGAAAACAAAGTAAACTTTAATGTTATTTAGACCTAAGAGATTATACCACAGCAACATATCTGAGTGCAGTAAAGGACAGTAAACTAAGAACAACAATGACCAAATACAGGCTGAGTGCTCACAATATGACTGTAGAAACGGGTCGATACAGACAGAACTGGCAACCTCGAGAGAGACGCATCTGTCCACACTGTGTGTGTGAGGTGGAGATGGAGGAACACTTCCTGATCTGCTGCACAAACTATCAGCACATCCGAAAAACATTCTACACCAAACTACAGATTATTACCCACAATTTACTGAGTTAGACAATAAAACACAGCTTTAATATTTACTAGGGGAAAAAAATTAGCGTGTCCTTCTAGCGACCCAATACATTAATGCCTGTCACAAAAAGAGAGAGCAGACCAATAAAACCATCAGTGATGCGCCTGTAAACACACACACACACACACACACACACACACACACACACACACACACACACACACATACACACACACCGAGAGAGAGAGAGAGAGATGATTATAAATTAATCATTGTAAATATACTGATTGTTATTGTTTTTTATTACTGTTTTATCTTAAAAATGTTGATTGTTAAAAGAACAGTGTATTAAGATCTATTTTTATATTGATTTGTATGAATAATATGATAGGTTGAATAAAAATATAATAAATTAAATATTAATATGATATATTGAACAATATGGTGCATTGTTGATATATTATTTAATTTTTCTATATAAATATCATCTTTATTTTTTATTATTCATTTTTTTACTACTACTATTTACTGTGTGTACTGTTTTATTATATATGTATGTTACTTTATAACTGCTTTGGCAATACATTTGTAACATTTGTCATGCCAATAAAGCATTTGTTGAATTGAATTGAATTGAATTGAATTGAATTGAGAGAGAGAGAGAGAGAGACCAAGAGAAAGAGAGAGATAGATAGATGGATGGATGGACATGTTGTATATTTAATGGTTGTAAGGACCAGAGAAAAAACACATTAGACCCTGCAAAGGGCTATAACAAAAGGTACTATTTGTTTCTATTTAATTTTCTCCTATTTTAATTACATATATTTCCAGATCTGGGCCACACAATCAGCTTTTGCTTGACCCACATGCCGCAGTGAATTACAGTACATGATTGGACCAAGTCTGGCTTTCATACAAGGGCCAAACATGAACCATATCTGGGCCAAGTCTCAGCCAAGTTTATAACCCATAACTTTGTCTGAACTGAGCCAGAATTGTTGGTGTGTCACGACTGCAATAAATTTTATTTCACTTTATGGCCACACTTTTAAATAAATCCACATTTTTAAATAAAACTCAAAAATAATATAATTTTTTTTTTTAAGTGGTTCAAGATGGGCCAAATTTATGTCATCCACATTTAAATGTTTTACATCTGGCCCAAGTCCTATGTGCTGTCATAAAGATGGTGCCACCTCTGTGAATCCCGGGCCATGTTTGGCCCACATATGCCAGTGCAGGATGAATGCCTTCTGAGCCAGCTTTATGTCAAATCTGGCCAGAATTCTTCGCTACCTGGGTATAATTAAGGCAATTTAGTGTAATATAAAGTGAGACCTGCGAACGTTTCTATTTAACATGGACATGAGTATTCCAATAACATCTGACACGTGATTTAAACCATATATAATAGATTATTGTCATGCATTAACCTGTCCTTATTCATCATTGCATATTCACAGTAAAACGCTTTGCAAATTATACCAAAATACAGCAAGTAAACTACTAAAAGGTAGAACGATGTAGAAACCATGGTAACGTTAGGCTAGTGTTTTTGTGCGATCACCGGTTGGCAACGCAGACAACACTGTACACAAAGGTAACGTCTGATAATCTTTATGATTAAAGTAGAGATTTCAGACACTTACCTTCTTCTCTGATACAAAACGTCAAAACAAAAAATCATGCTTTGAAAGTTGAAAACAAGCAGCTCATGATGACAGCTGAAAAGAGAAGTTAACAGATGGTAACTAACGCTGATGGGCGGGACTACGAGAGAAAAAGCTTCCTGTCACCATGGAGACCACTTACTCCGGAACTCAGGAGGATACATAAGGCAGTTTTTATGCTCTGTTTTCATGTAAAAGTCATTTGAGGAGAGTACAGAGTTTATAAAACAGCTATGAAGAATGTTTGGCTTTTTTCTACTTAAACAGACTAAGGAGAAAAGTAGAGGACAAAGACATTTCAACAACAGAATGATCATACGAACTGTGTCCAGTCCAGTAAGGGTAACGTTACAAATATTAATCTAAATAATATTTAAATGACATATTTCTTTTTGTATGTATGTATGTATGTACCCAGCCGGCATTTCAACGGTGATTCAACGTTGAATCAACGTCAGGTCTATGGTTGGATCAACGTTGAATTACCTTTCGATTTTGCAAATTGGATCAACGTTTATATAGTGACGTTGTTTCACCGTCGGACCACCACCGGTGATTCACCGTTGAAATCACAACGTTGTTTCACTCTTACCTTTTTCATGGGTGAATTATGGTCGTTTTGTAGACGTTGAATGAAGGTTGAATTACCTTTCGATTTTGCAAATTGGATCAACGTTGATACCGTGACGTTGTTTCACCGTCATACATTTCAACGTAAGTTAAATAGGAATTACATACAACGCAAAGTCCATAAATATAGCAAACAAATTTTTACTAATTAAAAATACACGACACAAATACACAACTTAGTTTGTGTATCAATTTATTTAATACACACCTCATTATTTCAATTATTCTAAATATACAGCAACATTTACAGCATACATAGTTCATTAAAACCATGCAGGTTACTATACATGCTCAAATACAGAAAAAGGCATACAATTAAATAGTCACTTTTTAATTAAGTTTCATGAATTAAAGTTAGTTAATGTTTACTAACATGAACAAAGAACAAATACTTGTACAGCATTTATTAATCATTTAATTAATTGAAATATGTCCCGATGCTATTAAAATCAAAATGCATGCTTGTTAACATTAATGCACTGAGCTGACATGAACTGTACTTTCTTTATATGAAAGATGCTTTATTGTTCTTTGTTCATGTTAGCAAATACATTAACACTTATTAATACAACCTTATTGTAAAGTGTTACTGTCTTCAGAAAGAAAGATACTAAGTAACTAAACTACGCTTCAACCATCACAGTCTCCAAAATACAATTCCGTTTACAAAGTTTACAAAATACCCATTTTTAAAGTGGCTGCAGTAAAAAAAATAAAATAAAAAACATCACTCACAACTAAGAATCACAAGTGAAATACATTACATCTGTTTGAGGTTTTATAGGTTGGGAGAAAAACTTGAGGTAAAAGATGGCACTGGGACAAAGAATCAAGTGTAAAACACTTAAACATCTATATCAGTCTAGCAGTTAAATAAATATTTATTTCTCAAACACCAGGTGAGTTTCCTACAAAATCAATAACGAGGTTTGCTATTCCAATTCATTGTGAATGAATGGCTTCACTTTCACAATAGTGAAAACTCATGCTATAATCTAAACCTGACATTACTCCTTCACTTTGCAGGTCTGCATGCTAAATATTTAGTAGTTTTTTTTTTTTTTTTTGCATAAAGTACATCTATTGTGTTTAGCATTACTGCAGCAAAACTGAGCACCTGTGACAGTGGAACATGTAGACAAATATTTCAGTAAATCATCAAGAAAATGTGTAGAATATATAGTTTGATTCTCTCTCACAAACACAACAGTAAAAGCAATTTGTTATTCTATTATTATTAGTATCATAAAAATTGCATGTTCACATGGGTCTTATAATAATGGCTCACATTTGTGAATGTAGGACCACTATTTCACTATTACATGTCACATTAACTGTTCATATAGGTTCTGTTATTAAGTACTTGTGTCATCCCAGAGACCTGTTAATCTTCAGAACACAAACTAAAATATTTTAGATTAAATGCTCCTCATCCTCTACAGACAGCAATAGTCCCAAGATGGTCATTGTCAAGATAAGGCACAAAACACATTGTCAAAACGTTCCATGTGACTTCAGTGATTTCAACTGTGAACATACCAAGCTGCAACAACACTTTAGTGAGGCAAAACAAAACAGTAAATACAAATGTGTTAGCGTATATATGACCTGTTGTGGCAAAGGCAAACAAGTTATTTTTACAGTACTTACTGTGATTTAAACTTTATGACAAATGTACTGGACCTGTTACACATATCTTTTATGAACACAAATTTCACTGTAACAGATGCTGTTGTTTTGCTCCAGTTATACCTTTAGAGAACACCGTACTAGTCAGACATCCATACAAAAGCAGAGAGTTTGGTCTTGTGTAGCAGAACTGCAATAGATGTCTGTCTGTCTGTCTAGGCTGACACTGGTTTAGGCCATCAGTATGTCCTTGATGACCTCAAATGGAGCTTCCAGAAAACCTGCAATAAATGAAATACGAGGTTACAACTAAGTTGGTGTCTGCTATTATACAAAGTGAAATTCAAATATTTATTTTTTATTGAATCCAAATTTGTCCTATAATATCGTCACACTCAATAATTTTGACTCATCCATCTGAATATTCCTAACTAAGAGGAGTGAAGAATTAGGTGTGATGTCGTCAGGAAGCCCTTCGCCACCACCGGTGCCAGCATTTCCAGAATTCAAATTTCAGATTCTCAAAAAAATTACTTTTTTTTTTTTTTTTAACAAAGGCTGCAGTAAAGAATCATGAAACATTCAACACATCTAATAATTACAAGTTGTTGTAAACCATTACATGTACTGTAAAAGCTGTTTGAAGCTTTTTAGACATATGGTTGAGAAGGAGTAGCACTTCTACAAAAGTCTTCATGTAGGACAGAGAATTAAAGGGATAGTTCAAAATGTTTATTCTGTCGTCATTTACTGACCACGTTGAACACAAAAGAAGATATTTTGAAGAAAGCTGCAAATCTATAACCATTGACTTCTATAGTATTTTTTTCTACTATGGAGGTCAATGTTTACAGGTTTTTAGTTTTTTTTTCAGAATAGCCTCTTTTTTTGTTCAACAAAATAAACTCATAATGGTTTTAAACCATTTGGGGAGTAAAATGTGAGTAAATTTTCATTCTTGGGTGAACTATCCCTTTCAGTTGGAAAACACCAGAATTCTTAAGTAGACCCCTTTCGCAAGACAGATGATGCATTTCATTTCTCATCTTAATCCTCAAGTATTTAATATTTAGATTTATTTAAATAGCATGTTTATTTATTTGTTTTAATGACATTTAATAAAAACAACTTCTCAATGACATCACATGTACTGGACCTGCTACACATGTATCACTATTTTTTAATGAATCAAATTTCACTGTAACAGGTGCTGTTGTTTTGCTCCAGTAATACCTTTAGAGAACACAGTAGTAGTCAGACATCCATACAAAAGCCTTGGCGTGGAGTAGCAGAACTGCAGTCTGTCCAGGCTGACACAGGTTTAGGCCATCTGCGTGTTCTTGATGCCCCTCAACTGGATCTTCCAGAAAACTCAGAAAATTAAAACCCATTACACCTCTTATCTGCTACTATACAAAGTGTAATTTAAGCATTAATTGCTAACTAAATACATATTTGTTCCCCAATACGGTCACATAGTATAACATCACAACATGATTTCACAATAATAATATCAATATAATATCACAACATAGCCTAACAATCAATAAACAAACAGATTAGAAAGAGAATATCACCAACCAAAGCACCAAGAAGATTTAACAGATAGCTTAGTTAAAGCTAAAGTAAACTTACATGGACAAAGCCTTTTCCATTCAATGCTGTGCAAGTTAGTGCGTCTCTGGAGTAAGTTACATGTCTAAAAGCAAAAACAACAACAACAGTGAAACGACAGCAGTTCACTTTGTAATAATAACACTAATGATACAGCGTATAAAAAGGATTTTTTTTTTATAACGTTGCTCAGTAACTTTAAACTGCGTTTGGAGTTTATCGCTTTGAATTTGCCATAAAAACGCTCATTTAGACTAACGTTAAACATGTGACATTACCTCGAGGTTAGCTGCGCGTCACCGGAGCGCAAACAAGACTAAAAACCAAACTGGAAAGTTTTAAATGTTTCAAAATTCGAAACACTACACCAAGTCACATTTAAGATACACTATGTGTAAAACAAAATCGGGGGGTAAATAAAACATTAAAGCATCTAAAAACACGCTTACCTCTGAATTCTGCTGCACTGCAGGTCAGGTGTTCGTAATTAAGTGAAGTGAAGCGCTGCGCGCGGCCGCGTGCGCCGAGTCTTCCGATACCATGGTAACCAAACATGTTGAATATTGGGTGAAGCCATGACGTTAATTCAACATACAGATCATGATAAAAAAAATGTCAACGTTGATTTGTACAAGGATTTCTGTAACTTTTTTCAACCATTTATCATTCAACATTGTTTCAACATTAAAGCAACTACTTACGTATTTTCAACCACATTCCAACGTTGAAGCCTTGTCATATGCAGGCTGTTTTTCAACCGTTCAACATTAAACGTTCTATCAACATTATTTCAACGTTTAAAACACATCTGACCTTATTTCAACCATATTTCAACGTTGAAGGTCGGTCGTGTGCCGGCTGGGTATGTATGTATGTATGTATGTATGTATGTATGCATGTAGGCCCTATGTATGTTAGCTTTTAAATTAACTTTAAATAAATAAAAAATGTTCTACTTGAAATAAAAGGTTAGCCTACATGTTTATTAATAACATTTAAAAAAAATAACAATAGCGTATATTGCTGCGCTAATTTAATATTTTAAATGGCATCTTGAAAGTTTTTATTTTATCCTCTGGAAAGCGACAGCGCAGAAGCTTCCGTGCAATGATACATATGAACACAAGATGGCGCTATCTTTTTGCAAACGTTCTGAGAGTTGACAACACAACACAATGACATTTTTTTAGTATAGATAAGTATAGTTTCAGTATAGATTTCAGGCCCGTAGCCAGCCTGGTGAAAGGGTGTGGTTGTTTTTTCTTAAAATATGGACCTTTTGCAGTTATTTATCTCATTTTTTTAAATTATGAGGTTTAAGTACTTTTCAAGCACTTTTTTTTTTTTTTTTTGCTGGATTAGCTTGTTGGATGGTCATCAACCACACTTTTTGATGTACCTAAAACATTTCCTTAAGATCTTTAAGCACTTCCTTTTTTTTTGCTGGATTAGCTTGTTGGATGGTCATC